CGGCCTGGCATGCTGGTGGCAATTTCTTCCAAGTCCAGATTCTAGGCACGGCATTTTTCTTCGAATTCGCAGTCTAGAGTTTCAGGCACGGCACGGCACGCGCACATTACGGCACGCGAGTTTTTCTGCAGTCCAGGGTCCAGACACGGCGCGGGCACAGCACGACACGGCACGTAGGCGGCACAGTTTCGCATTTGAGGATTGAGACACGGCGGGACACCCGCACGTCACGGCAGCGGTATGGCACGTGGGCGAAATTTTTGTTGCATTCCAGAAGCTCGGCGCAGCACGGCATTTTTTTCCGCATTCGAGGATTCAGGAACGCGACTACGCCACGACGGTTTTCTGTCATATTGCAGGGTTCAGGCACGGCGCGGGCACGGTATGGTGCGGCACCTACACGCGGGCACGGCGCGGTATTTTTTTCGCAGTCCAGGATTCAGGCACAGCGCGGGCACGGCACGACACGGCATGTGGGGGACATATGTTTCCCACGTTCGAGGATTTAGTCACAGCGCGGCACGCGCACGGCAGGACTTACGGGCACGGCGCGGTGCGGCAATTTTTCCGCATGCCAGGATGCAGGCACGGCGTGGGCCAGGATTCAATCATGGCGCGGGTTCGGCACGGCACGAAATGGCGCGCGGGCAGATAAACTTTCGCTTTCTAGGATTCAAAGGTGCGACGCGCGCGCAGCACGGCACGCTGCCACGGCACGGCACGGCACCGCTTCCGCATTCCAAGACTCAGGCATTGTGCGGATACGGCACGGCACGCGCAACGTCCTGATTGTTTAGTTGTTTCGCATTTGTCGCTGTGTAGAATTCAGGCATGGTGCGGGCACGGCACAGCACCATACATCTCTCGCATTACGGCACGCGGACACGGCATGGTACTTAATTTTTTCCGTATTCCAGGATTCAGCACGGCGTGGCACTTAGTCTACGATTCAGGCACGGTGCGGGCCAGGATTCAGGCAAAGCGCGGGCACGGCACGGCATGGCACGCGGGCTTTCTTTTTCGCATTTGGAGATTCAGTCACGGCACGGCACGCGGGCACGGCACGGCACGGCGCTTGTGCTGCCATCCAGGTCAGGCACGTCGCGGGCACGGCACGTTGGTGGCCTTCTTATTTACATTCCAGGTTTAACGTGTTGAGGCCTGTGTGATGGCGGGCGTTGCCGGCGGGCGCAGCAGGGCTCTGACCCATCTCTTGTGCGGATGGACGGAGCGGGACCAGGGGAGGCATAAGGAGAGAACAACTCATCATTCCCCCACACTGGTCGTACCTGCGCCTGCTGCTCTAAGGATCTCGACATGAGTGCGCGCATATGCGTGGTGTTGCCATGGAGTCTCGTCCATGCGTTGTGTGCGCGGGTGCGCAGATTTCTGGGTGCGTCTACTGGGTCCAACCCATGCGTGGCGTGTCGGGGTGCGCAGATTTCTGGGTGGGGCCACACGGTCCCGCCCATGCTTTGTGAGCGAAGGGCTGCATTTATTGGTGCGGCCATCGTGTCCCGCCTATGCACTGGGCGCTGGGGTGCGGCAATGCGTTGGTGCGGTCAAGATTCGCCTCACACATTCAGATTCGCTGTTTTGGGTTCACGCTGGAATCATGAGGCATGGGACAGCGGCGTGAGTGCGGAGGGCGCCGAGGCGACAGCGCCAATCTGAAGATCCGAAGACGCTTCGAGTGGAACAGCACGTGTCAATGATTAGCTCATGCAATCGAGAGTGAGCGAGTGCGGAAGTGGCCGGGTGAGAACGTGCACGCTGCCAGGTGTGAGAGGAGAGTGGTGTTCATTGCGAACACTCGTAGCGGGGATGGGAGCCCCGACGTCGTGATTTTTTACAACGTCGACCCCCAGGGGCCTGGAGCAAGCCAGGAACCGGAGAGGAGAAGGGAGGTGGTCTGGTCCCCCCAGCGGACATTCCGCTGGTGGCTGGAATTGGCGACGAGACGCTTGGCAAACTGATCCGAACCAACGGCTTGGTCGGCTGCTCTTGCCTGCGCTAGCCACGTTGTTGGGAGTCGAAACTTTTAAGTTTTCAAAGTGCCGCTTAGATGGGCAAGCCCTTTGTCGAACCAACGGCTTGGTTCATCGCCCCGGCCAGGTCTACCCAGCTGCCTGCGGCACCTCCCGCAACCGTGCCAGCCAGCATGGTGGGGTGGGTGGCGACTGTTCAAGGGGGCACGGGAGGGCGTCACGTGTGACACCTCGTGTCCCCAGGCTTGAAAATGCGGCGATGAGGATGCTGAGCATGTTGTTGATGATGTTGATGATGTTGCTGATGATGATGACGATGATGATGCTGGTGATGATGACGATGCTGCTGATGATGATTCTTATAATGATGACGATGACGACGATGCTGCTGCTGATGATGCTGATGATGTTGATGATGATTATGTTGTTGCTGATGACGATTATGGTGCTGATGCTGATGATGTTGATGATGATGCTGCTGCTGATGATGATGACGGTGGCGGCGATGATGACGATGAGGATGATGATGATGATGATGATGATGATGATGATGATAATGATGATGCTGATGCTGCTGCTGATGATGATGCTGCTGTTGATGATGATTATGATGCTGATGATGATGATGGTGGTGATAGTGATGGTGATGGTGATGGTGATGGTGATGGTGATGGTGATGCTGATGATGATGATGATGATGATGATGATGATGATGATGATGATGATGATGATGATGATGATGATGATGATGATGATGATGATGATGATGATGATGATGATGATGATGATGATGATGATGATGATGATGATGATGATGATGATGATGATGATGATGATGATGATGATGATGATGATGATGATGATGATGATGATGATGATGATGATGATGATGATGATGATGCTGATGATGATGATGATGATGATGATGATGATGATGATGATGATGATTGATGATGATGATGATGATGATGATGATGATGATGATGATGATGATGATGATGATGATGATGATGTGATGATGATGATGATGATGGTGGTGGTGGTGGTGGTGGTGATGGTGATGATGATGATGATGATGATGATGATGATGATGATGATGATGCTGATGATGATGATGATGATGATGATGATGATGATGATGATGAGGAGGAGGAGGAGGAGGAGGAGGAGGAGGATCGACCCAGATAAGAGGGCGCGTCGAGTTCGATGACGGGAAGGGCGGCAGCGGGGAGAGAAGCAGAGAGAGAGAGAGAGAGAGAGAGAGAGAGAGAGAGAGAGCACAGCCCAAATCGACGGAACCTTGGGCGACGGGCTTGCGACCCAGGGCGGCGCCTGCCGCCCTCCACGGCCAGCTCGCGAGCGAAGGCGACGGGTAGTACTAGCGAGCAGAGCCCTATACAAGGCCCAACATCGCGGCGGCATCATCTGATAACCTCAAAGGCAAGGGGGTTCGGATGGCCAACCGCGGCACCCTCGGGTGCAGAAGCTTGTCAAATACCGTATCCCTCTTGTGCCCCCTGGAGGGCGTCCTCTCCAGGAGGGTGGGGTCACATTCCTGCAAAAGCTGAGATCCTCCTCCTCCCTCGAAGCACGACCCACATCTGCGACACGCCACCAACTGCCCAGAGACGAACAGCTCGTGTCCTCGTGCTCTGGACTGCGGGATGATGCCATGGTCGCACGCGCCTGGGTGCCCTTGTCCCTGCGGCTCTTCGAGTGGAGGAGAGGAGGCTCTTCGGATCGGGAGCGCTTGGAGGAGGGCTCGACGAGCGCCGACGGCGTCACCTCCAACGTTCGGATCAGTCCTCGCACCTGTGTGTCAGGGGTGGGATCAGTCTCCACACATCTGACCCTCTTGCGCGGTGGGGGCTCCGCCGACGCAGCTCCGTCCCTCTCCTCGCTCCTCGTCCTAACAAACGCGGCCTCCTGCCTCGGGCAACATGCGTGGTCAGGCGTGGCATTCCCTTCCCCCCCCGCAGCAGCAGCAGCAGACTCACCCACCACCCCATCAGCTCTCGTATGCAGGCCAATTCTGCGGAGTTGCGTCTGCGCCGTCGGGCAAACCGTCCTGCGGAGGCGCCTCAGGCCTCCAGCGGACCTGGTCTGGACCAGGCATCTGGCACACTGCGTCCTGCCATCCGACAGAACAAGACGCTGCAACAGAGACGGGGGAGGCGGGGGGGGGGACGGAGGGAACCACGGAGCCGAGGTGGGTGGCGATGCTTCCGACGACACGGTACTAGCACACGATCCGCCTCCCATCCGCCGAGAGTCTGGGCCGCCTGCGATTGTCCAGGAGCGAGTCCGCGTGCGAATCTACAACATGCTGGGGGAGGGGTGCATCGCTAGGCCTCTCTTCGCAGCATCATCCGCGAATTCATTCCCTACTTTCTCCTGCGACCATTCTGACTGGTGGGATCTCACCCAAGAAAAAGAAAGCGTGGAACACATTCCCCCATGATCGCCTATGGCCTGCCAGATCTTCCTCCAGATGTCGAGGTTGTGGCGATGCGGCGAAAGGCACCATTCCCTACCTCTCAGGATAGCCTCAATGGCAGGGAGGTGATCAGACATAATGTGAAGCGGGGGGCGGCCCACGCGGAGGGTCTGCAAACTGGCAAACAACTCAGCTCGGGGTAACGTCTGCTGGTGGCCTGGGAGGGGGCCGAACGCTTGTCCGACAAGTCTAGAGCCAGCCATGACCGCTAGGCCCCATCCCGCCCTTGCAGCACCAGGCCAAGAGGGGAGGATCTGTCCCGATCCATCGGTGTACACATCCCCTGTGAGGTCTAACGCAGAATCTCCTCTGAGCGCATACGCCCAGCGCTCGACCATGCACGGTGGCCTAAGCTCGGGCAGCCAGGTGCGCGGGAAGAGGCACCGCTGGAAGAAAGGACACTGAACGGGGGCAGCTCGCGCGCGCTCGAGGTGGGGCCCATCCAGAGCCTCGCCCAGGTCCCTGTGGACTCTGGGGCACATCCAAAAACGGTGATGCAATGTGCCAGGGCTCACTCTGCAGGCTTGGCATTCGCTCGACTCGGCGTACCGATGCTGAAATAGACGCTGCTGCGACCACTGGCCTCCGATGACTGTGGAGCGGAGGCAGGCGATGGCGACTTGCGACATGCGCCATCTGGCACGCGTCTCAGCGTCCGCGAACAGCTCCCTGAGCGGCTCCAGCCAGTAGCGGCCTGGCGCCCGAGGAACGCGCGCCTGAGGCAGCTCGGGCGTCTGCTCCTCTCGGGTCGCCCATTCACGCCATCTGAGGGACTCGTAGTCGCGCCTGGCCAGCTCCCGCACCCAAAGTGGGCTGACACTGGTCAAGTCCAAAATGATGCCAGTCCTCGTCGGCCAAGATCACGCTGAGGAGGCTCTCCATCCCAGCCTCTGCATCTGGACTGCAACTGCACCAGCGGGGCCCTCGATCACCTTCCAGGGGTCGGGCGCCTTTATCGTCTGGACCTGCCACGCGTCCTGCAGCATCTCCCTCGAGACTCTCCCCGCTGCGACCATCACCGCCCAAGTGTGAAGCGGACCTGTGACGGCCATGGACTCGGGGTGCCGGTAAACGCTAGGCTCGAGCATGGAGGCAATCCAGGTCGACGAGGCAGGTGGCGTGCTGGACCAGCCTTCTCGCACAGTCCGCATCATCTTGGATATCAGATGGGGCGGAGCGCTGGTGACCTGCAAGCCGTACGTCAT